GTTATGCTTGTTTGCTTGCTTGTTTAGTTAGTTAGTTAGTTAAGGCAGGATTTCGCTAAGTTACTGAGGCTGGGCTCGATTTTGCGATCTTCCTCGCCTCGGCCTCCTGCTGGAATTACCGTTTTTGATAGGCAAATACTGCCGCCTGCTGCGCCCCTCAGTATTCCTCTGGGGGCGGGTCCACCGCTGGCTCCGCCCCCACCCAGGTGTCTACCTCTGTAGGTGCCCGGGAGTCTGAGAGATCTGGGCCCTGGAGTCCTGAGGGCTCCTTGTCCCTACGCGGTCCGTGGGGAGCAGCAATGAAGGATGCCCAGGAGGACGCCCCTCAGTCCGACTCCTGCGCCTCCAGGTCCGAAGAGTATGCGGGCTCGGCCCGGGGCCCCGAGGTGGGGCCTCCAGAGAAGGTGGAGGACTGTGGTCGGTCCCCGGAGGCGGCCTCCAAGAAACTTTGTGGGTATTTACTTAAGTTTGGCGGTAAAGGGCCCATCCGAGGCTGGAAATCCCGCTGGTTCTTCTACGACGAGAGGAAATGCCACCTGTATTATTCGCGGACGGCGCAGGATGCTAATCCCTTGGACAGTATTGACCTCTCGGGTGCGATCTTTGACTGCAAGGCGGACGCTGAGGCGGGGACTTTCGAAATCAAGACCCCCAGCCGGGTTATCACCCTGAAGGTAAATGGACCCTTTTGCTGCTTTTCAACCTAGATGAATGCCCAGTTCCCAGGGCACAGCGTGGCGCCAGTGTGTGGTCACAGTAAACCGACTGGAACAGTGATCACCAACTTGCCCCTAGAGCTTTGTGCTTTCCAAAGCCCGTTCACACCCATTTACTCATTCAGATTCCAGGAGCAGTTACAAGGGACCCATTTTATGGATCAAGAGACTGAGTCAGAGAGATGACGAGTGTGGTTGGAGGTCAGGCATTTACAGTGGTGTAGTCCACACTTGGAATCTGACAGTCTTTCTGCTTTCAGTGCTATATCAAAACTTTGACTTTTGCGTGTGCCTAAGTCCGTAGTTACCTTAACTTTCCTTCCTGGACTGAAGTATAATCAAGATACCGTCGCTACAAACCTTAAGACTAGGATTCTGATTCACTTCTTGATATTTTGGCCAAGGGGAGTGAATGCTGACATTAGCAGGAATCGGGAAGATAAACAGATAGTTTTTCACTGATCAGCCTAGATTGCTCATTTGGGCATGTCTAAACGAGTGAGCAGTTAAGTGTTTGTTGAATACACATGCACATACATGGTTATGGAACCCAGATCACTTAACTGGAAAGAGCTCTGAGCCAGGAGTTCTAGGGGCCTCCGAGAAGACTGCAAGGAAATAGCCTCCCTTCCCCATGCTCACTTCCCCCTCCCCAGCCTGCAGCTGACGAGGCATCTGTGGACATTCAGTTTAGTGGGACTTGGCTAGGGAGTAGGCTGTGGGGCTCACTAGTTAAAATAATGGAAACCAGGAATTTCAGGCCAGGAAAGGCATTTTGGAGCTCAAATGGGTCCTAGGTTCTGTGTTTCCTCCCACAGGTAGAGGGCAGTGTACAGTGTTTCCAACATGTGGCTTTTACTGTGCCATTGATCCATACGTGCATCTGACTTTGTGCGAAGTTCTGGGGTATGGAGACGAGTCAGTCCTGCCCTCCTAACTCCCAGATAGTTTAAGACTGATGGAGGAAATGGCAGTCACAGTAAAATATCCCATAGTGACACCATGACAAGTCTTTTTTTTTTTTTTTTTTTTTTTTTTGTACTGGGAATCAAACTCAGGACCTCTCACCTGCCAGGCAGGCGCTGCACCAGAGCTATATCCCCAGCCCTATGGCAAGTCTTCATAAGAAAAGTGTGTGACAAGAGAGGAAGCCATCCAGAAAAGCATTGCCTGAGGCTTGAAGGAAAAAATAATTTTTTGACAAGCAGGCAAGAGGAAGAAGGGTGCACCAGTTGGTTTTTTTTTTTTTGGTTTTTTTTTTTTTTTTTTTTTTTTGGTTTTTCTCGGTTTTTCTCCGGTACCGGGAACCGAACTCACGACCTTGCGCTTGCCAGGCAGGTGCTTTGCCGCTGAGCTAAATCCCCAGCCCCGAAGGGTGCACCAGTGAGCAAAGATTGGGCGTAAGTGTCCAGGCAAGGAACGCGTGGGAATCTGGGACAAATGTAGGGGTCCAGATGATGGAGTTGGAGAGGGAGGTGTGGGAGCGCATTTGTGAGTTCCGCTATTGAGCTTGAACTTTGCCTGGCAGACGGTGGGAATTGTCTTCCAATAGACTATAAAGGTTGCCTGGTAGACTATGGAGTAGCCTTAAGCAAGGAAACACAGTGAGATTAGAATGTTTAGAAAGATCAGTCTGACTGTTGGGTAGAGAACAAATTAGAGGAAGGGGAGGTCGGTAGTCAGAGAACCCATCAGGGGGTGATCTGGAGAGAATGAATGGCTGAGCTCGAGCTATTGCCCTGGGAAGGAGGGCAGATGGCAGTGGACAGGGATGTTAGGGAAGTAAAATACTGTAGAGATGTCAGGGAGGCCTGAGTAACTGTCTGGCCACCTGTTTGGTCACTGAGAGAAGGGGAACTCAGGATGAGAAGCTCCCCATAGGGTATAGTTCTCCTAAGTAGACCTAAGTCCCAAGAATGTGTGTTGACTCGCTATGGTATCTTCCAGTGCCCATCACAGTCCCTAACTCATACGGTAGGTGCTCAAAAATGAATTGTGTGCTAAAACAAGAGTATTTGGGTTTTGCACATCATGGTGAAGCCTTGGGAGGTCCCTCAGGGAAAGTTCGTGGAAAGAGAAGGCTGGTGGGCGTCATTTGATCTTACTGATATCTACACCACAGCTGAGAGCCTCTGTCATGCAACTCCAGCCCAGGATATGCCTTCTCTGTGACCCTCTTGCGAGGGAGAGTTTGCCCTGGTTACCACATAGCCTTCTTTTCTCATGTGGCCTTGATCATGGGCAGCTCTGGATACTCATCATCAGCTCCTAGTGGGTTGCCACCCTCCATGTTCACGTCAGCTGATTTCATGCCTTCTTTACGTAAGCCACAAATCCGGCCATAAATTATAGCAAAGTTCAGGTCTAGGAGTAGGAGACTAGAGATTTGGGACCAGTTCTGCAACCACAGCTCTGTTCATAATATATGTGAGAGTGGGTGTTTGGACCATCCAACACTGGGAAACTAATGATTAGCCAGCCATTAGCTTGTTTGCAGTGCTGGACCATGTAGAAGGTGTTCCGTGTCATCACAGTGTTCTATGACTTTCCAGTCCCCATTCATATCTGTGATTTCAGTGGATCCCCCCTACAGAAGAGATTATTCCCATTCCACCAAAAGATAGCTAAGACTAGGCAGATGTCAGAGAGAGAGAGAGAACAAGAACGTATACCCAAAATCAGAATTCCAAAGCTTCCATCTTACCCTACATCTTATTCCTCTGTCCAGTGAGCACATTTTAAGTACTTGTCATGTGTCAGGTACGGTGCTGGGCAGTTCATTTTTCTTATCTCATTTCATCCTCATAAACTTCCCATGAAGGGCTGTTATGACCATAGCACAGATGAGGAAGCAGAGGCTCAGAGAGGTTAAGAACTTCTGAGTAGGTGAATATTTTCCACTGCCAGAAACATGTAGTGTTTTAGCAGTGGGTGCCAACCTACACCTTCCCCTTATCCTACACCCAGTGCCACCCTGCAGGCACAGGACCTTGCCAACTAATCTTTGTGCTTCTCAGGCCCCAACGAAGCAAGTGATGCTGTACTGGCTGCAGCAGCTGCAGATGAAGCGCTGGGAGTTCCACAGCGGCCTGCCTGCTCCTCCTGCTGCCCCTGACAGCGCCCCGGCTGGGAATGGGCCTGACCTGCACGTGGAGCTAGGTACCCAAGGGCTGTCCTCCAGCTGCACACCAAGCTGTGGTGGCCAGTCTTTTCCTCTGCTGTTGGGAGCAAGTGGGAAGAGCCCTCTGCAAAGGAAGCAGAGAGCGAGGATGTGGCTTAGTGTTAGGTAGGGCAGAAACACACAAATCCTAATGGGGTGTGATTTTAGGCAAGTTGTTTAACCTTCTGAGCTTCAGTTTCCTTCCCAATAAAATGAGGGTAATAAGTTATATCTATTTTTTAGGGCAATCATATGAGGGTTAAATGAATCCATATACCTGAAATGGCTAGAACAATGCCTGCACAGTGTGAGAACCCAGGAGACATTACTACTGTGATGATGGCAGTCGTGAGACAGTCCCAAGAAATAAAACCTGCACAAACTTGCTGTGAGGATTCATGTGAGAATGCAGTGTTGTAGTGGCTTCTCCCACAAATGCTTTTATGTTGGGACTTGGATGCATTCATGGTTTTATCCCTGTGGTTTTCAGAAAACAGAATTCTTTGCATCACATGACCTACAATGGAGGTTTCTTTTGTTTTGTTTTTTGCAGTACTGAGAATTGAACCCAGGCCTTTTACACTGACCTATATCCCCAACCCTTATTATTTATTTTTATTTTCAGACAAGATTTTTTTTCACTTTTCAGGCTGGCCTTGAACTCACTATGTAGCCTAGGCTGGCCTCAAACTCTTGGCAATCCTCCTGCCTTAGCCTCCCAAGCGTGCTGGCATGCACCACCACAGCCGGTGCCTCCTGGATCTCCAAACCTGAGCGCATCTTCCCTTGACTCTTTCCTCCCCCAGTTCCCTTCCCTGTGCAGGTGGCTCTCCTGTACCCAGCTGCTATAGCAACTTGAAGTCACCTGCCACCCTCCTTCAGTCTCAGCTGGCCAGTCAGCTAGGCTTTGTGCTGGCTATTCTTGCCCTCTGACCATGCAGCAGCCCAGGTCTCCTCCCTGCCATTGTGTGGGTCAGATCTCGTCTCAGCTGGAAAACCATAACAGCCTCCTCACCAGTGTCCCTGTGTTCAGGCCTCTGGCTGAGCCTCTCCTCACGCTGTAGCCTGTGTGAGCTTTCCAAATGAAAACTCAAGCTCGTTACCGCATCCCTGGCCACCCTTCACCTAGACAGGTCAGTCGCTGCTCCATGCACAGTGAGGGGCTTGTCCCTCCTGGTCACACTCCTGTTAGTTCCCCCAGCCCTCACCTTGTGCCTGTGCTTTAGCAGCACCAGGTGAGGCTCTGCTGTCCTTCCTCCTTGCCCAGCAAATTCCTTCTGCTCCTTGAGGTGAATCTCCAGTGTCACCACCTTATCTTCTCAGTTTCCTCTCAGATACCTCCTGGGGCTTTGTCAAATGGACTTTGTATGGGCTCTTCACACTTCAAACATTGCTAAGGAGGCTTGTTACATTCTCATTACCAATGTCCTTGTCAGTCTCCACCCACTAGCCCTTAAAGGTAGGGGTCATTTCTTTGTTCCCAGTGTTTCCAGTCCGAGGTGCTCTGCCAAGCACACTGGATATTTATTTAGGGAATGTATGAGTAAATATATTGAACTTCATGATTGAAGAAAGGAATGTAAAGTCCATACATAATATCAGGAGCATAATAAGTGCTCAATATAAGGTGGCTGTCCTAATAATGCATACTTGCATACATACATATGTATGTCATTATTCTCATAGTAGTACATACATATATATATACATGCATATATATCATAATAGCACATACATATATGCTATTACTAGTGCGAAACTACTTTTTTGTTACTAATAATTGCTTTAGGGAGCCTTCTTCCCTCTCTCCTTCCCTCCTTCCTTCCCTCCTCCCCACACCTCCTTCAGACTAGACCCTTATTTTGCTCATATTCACAATTCTCCTCCCTCAGTCTCCTAAGTAACTGGAATTACAGGTAAATACTGTAACTGCTTCAACCCTTTTGAAGGGTTTCTTTGCACCCACATTTCTACTACACCCCCACTCCCCATCTACCAGGCAGCTCGGCAGCTCTGGCTGTGCAGAAAATTGTAGCCTGTGTTGATGAATTTGCCAGAGATCGGCCTCAGACCAGAAACAAGGAGAAGCCTTCTTTCCTCTGTGTCTTAAAGTGTACTTTGAAGAGCTACGTTTTCAGAAGCCTGGCACTAGGATCTCACAGGCCTCTTATGCTATAGCAAACCTGGTATGAGTTCTTTAATTTTGTGGCTTTGCATCAGCACCTATGGCCAGGCCTGTTCAGGGCCAGCCTTGCTATGGGCATGGGGCAAGGAGTGGTTGCCATATGGGGACCAGGGCAGTGGTCTCCCAGAGGATACAGGCATGAGATTGGGGAAGCAGAAGTATGAGCTTCCCCTCCTGAAGGCTTTTCTTGCCCCATAGCAAACCTGCATTTTCCCAGACACAGGGCCTGAGCAGAAGTCTTCTCTATGCCCTCCAGAACGGCATTTCTGAAGTCTTCAGCAAGCTGGAAAGCCCAGAATTAGCTGTCTGGAACAGGCTGCCCCACCTCCTAGCCTCCGCCCTTCCTGAGGAAGCAGAGGAGGCAAACCTCCTGATCCCCATGACTTTGAGTCACAGAGACTCTGGCCTGTACAAAGTGTTCCGTCATTGCCCTTGAGCAATCTGCAAGGCATGTTTTCTCATCAGCTTTTTAGCATTTACAGGGTTACTTTACACTTTACCTATGCAATTGTCTCTACAAGAAAAATCTGCCCAAGAAAAAAATCAAAAGGAATCAACAGATTTATGTCAATAATAACACATTGCTAGAGTATGCTACAGTTTACATAGGGCTTTTATAAACCTCTGTCTTAAAAAATATGCATGCAATTTACTGATGCTTCTCTAACAGTTGACGTGTCACTTTACTTAATCCTTACAACAATCTTATGGATGTTGTTCCCATTTTATAAAAGAACAAACAGGCATGCTAAAAAGGAAGTGTCTGCACTGATGTTTAAGTCAGTAGACTCAGACCCTTCTCCCAAAGCTGAGGAGGTACTCAGCTGTCCAGTTACCTCTAGGGCAGCAGTGACCTTCTGGGGCAGGCCCTGTTTTATCTAGATAATGACTTCACCCACTTGTGGAGGAGCAGGCCTTGAGCTCAAGCAAAAAGAGAATATAAGCGAATGCTGCCGAATATGTGCAGCATGGTCACCAGTGAGGGCCTTTATGCAGGCTAGAAAGGGGCCAGGGCCCTAGGCCCTGGATTCTGTGTCCTGTGGGAAATGCTAACCCCAGCTGAGGCATGGCCATCATGTGTGGCCCATTCCTTTGCGAACCCCTGCACTGGTTTGTGGCCTGTCACTTCATGGGCAGCCCCTCCCATCTTAGAACCATCTGCTTCTTCAAAAGACTGCCCTGATGAGTCCTGTGGTTTAGTGGAAAAAGCAAAAATGAGAAACGGCATTTGAGTCCGTAATTGTGTCACCTGCTACTTTGACTTTGTCAAAACTAAGTCCAAGCTACTCCTTTTCTCATTGGTGTAACCAAGTAGTGTTGACACTTAACCCCCAAGACAGTTCTATGTGGCTTCAGAGCAGATCTCAGGCCACAGATGGAAGTTATAGGAGAGTAGACATTGGCAATTAAGGAAGTACCTAACAATACATTAAAATCTTGTTGCCGGGCATGGTGGCACATGCCTGTAATCCCAGCACTCAGGAGGCTGAGGCAGGAGGATTGTTGTGAGTTCCAGGCCAGCCTGAGCTACAAAGTGAGCTCAAGGCCAGCCTGAACTATATAACGAGACCCTGTCTCAAAAAGATAAATAAATAAATAAACAAACAAATAAAATATTGGAAAGACTAGGGTTTTTTGTTTCTTTGCTCTGAATAAGGGAGAAGGAAAGTGGTTTAGAGTAGTTGATAAACAAGAAAATCTTAGCTGGGCACTGTGGTACATGCCTATAATCCCAGTTACTAGGGAAGCGTATCATTCCTGGGTTTTTTTGTTTGTTTGTTTCTTAAGTGTTTCCCAACTGGGTCACAGCGCCCTCCTCATGGAAATTGGTTGGCCTCAGATCCAGCTAAAGCCACGTTCAATACCTCAGGCTCCTACTCAGCCCCTGGGGCCACTGTCTTTCCAGCCCACTGAGGTCCAGTCTCCTAGCCGCATCCCCTCTCTTGTGATCTCCCCAGTCCTGACTCCGCTGGGTCCCTACCCAAGTGCTCAGCTCTGACTCTCTTTGCTGCTGCCTGTACCAATACTTTGCACAGAGAGGCCCTTCCTCACTCCTCCCACAGCTCCAAATCAGCTCCAGTGCCCCTCTCCAGGAAATACTCCCTGGCTTGGTTTGAAAGGACTGTGCATCTACCCCTCAGAATGGTTCCTACCCCACTTTCTGCCCACCTGGTTCCCCGAGGTGTAAGCATCTTCCCTTTGCCCGTTTCTTAGGGTGTTAGCTTCCTATAGCTTTGATTCATCCAACTTTCTCCATACTCAGCTGGAAGCCCCAGAGTAGACGCCTGTTCTGTGCTTGGGGAGTGGGTGAATTGAAGGGAGGACCTCAAAAGGATAGCTTGGTGTTGCCCAGTAGTGATTGGCCCTCACCATCTGATGGAGCCTATTAAGAATTAACCAATGTATTGTTCGGTGTTGTCTGAATGACTACAGTGTATTTCTTGAGAAAGTCCAACAATACCCCTGACCCCCACCATTGTATTTAATGTTTTTGCATCCATAGCCCCCTTTGTAGTTACAATGTAAAAATAAATTTCCTGCACCTCTAAATTTTTTCACCCTTTCAATAAAAATATTTATGTAAATTTCTTGATTAGTCAAGGACATTCCATCCTTTAAGTGGTCCTGGTTCTTTTCCACTTTTTGTAACACTTCAAAGTAACCTCTTTTTTTTTTTTTTTAACTACTAGTGATTAAACCCAGGTCCTGGTGTGCTTACTAAGCAAGTGCTTTATCACTGAACTATACCCCCAGCCCTATTTATTTATTTATGCATGTATGCACGCATGCATGCTTTTTTGAGACAGGATCTCATTCTGGCCTGAAATTTGTGATCCTGGGCTGGCCTGAAATTTGTGATCTTCTGCTTCAGCCTCCTGAGTGCTGTGATTATAGGTGTGCTCCACCTGCACTGAGCCCTTACATTCTTACGCATTCTTCAATAACATTGTTTTATATCGAGTAATATCCCTCTCTATGAAGCCATCACGATTTACCTAACCTAGTTCCTGGTTTTTAGATGTTTAAGTTATTTCCAATTTGAAGCTAAGTAAACAATGCTGGGATGAACCCCTTAACACATGAAGTGTTCTTTGCATTTTCAACTTCTTTAGGATAGATTCTCAGTTGTGGAAGTGTCTGCAAGTTTGCATATTTTTGCGGGGTTTCCAGAAGGCTGCTCCAGCAAAATGTCTCATTACACTGGCTGCAGCACACAGATTGAAAAGCCCGCTTCTCTGCTATTAACCTGCAAGGCAAGCTTGCTTGCTGTGTAGCTGTTCACATCTTGCCTGCTGTCAGTCAAGGCTGAGTGTAGCCCTGAGATCACCCTTTCATAATGTAGTGCCCAGTGGATTGATCATCCTGTTTTTGGCTCCCTAGAGCAAGAGGAGGCAGAGCTAAAGGAGTTCCTGTGCCCTGTGAAAACACCCACTGGACTTGTGGGCGCTGAAGCTGCCCTGCAGCCTGTCCCTGCCATGCCCCTGGGCCTTCAGAACATCTCCCTCAAGCACTTGGGAACTGAAATACAGTAAGTGCGCGGGCTTGAGGGGCTGGCCAAGCTCTCTGCTACCCATCTCTGCAGAGCTTCACCTGGTGTGGCTGTCCTGCAGGGGCTGGTACTGGGAAGGAGATATAGATTTATTTTTAATTAATTATATTATCACTTTAAAAAGTCCCATTGGTTATTCTGATCAGAAAAGCATTACATATTCATTGTAGGAAATTAGAAATCTCTAGAAAGGAATGAATTAAAAATTATCCATAATCCAGACAAACCTTCTTAGACAGTGGTATATCTCTTTCCTCTATATTTTCTTCATACAGCAGTACCTTGGTTCATGTACTTAATTTGTTCTTCAATTTGGGGAAGGATAGCCACATTTGTATTTTTGTGGGAAAGATGGCTACAGTTGTGTTTGTTACCTGATACAGAGTTTGCAAATAAAAACAAAATTTTGCCAGGCACTTCTGTTTGCAAACAAAAGTGTCTGTGAACTGAGGTACCCCTGCACAGGTGTGCAAAATTGAAATCATACCAAATGGAATGGAATGGGATATGATGGTTTCACAGATGTGTACATATGTCAAGCACATCAAATTTTTCACTTTCACTTCTATGTGCAATGTGTTGTATGTCAATTATATGTCAACTGCTTTTTCCATTTGATACTGTATTATATGTACACTTTCCCACTGTCAGGCTTTGTTTTAAATAGTGCATAAAAAGAACAGTACAGCCTTGGCCTTGGAGCCAAACTGCCTAAGTTTGGATCCTGGCTTAGTTAAGGTCTGTGGTACCCTTGGCAAGTTGTTTGCTTCTCTGTGCTTTACTTACCATGTTAGTGACTATGAATACAGCTGTGCCTGATAAGGTGAGCTAGGGGCTAATTGGGTGAATGCTTTAGAACTATGCTTGATAGTCACAAACATGTAACAAATACTGTCTGTGGATTCCATTGTTGTTCTAGTTGAGAGAATGAAAACCTTCAGGAATTCAAGCTATACCCAACACTGATCCTACTTGGATATTTATTTTCTGTGTGGACTTTGGATGAACCGGGTCGTTTTAGAAGGCAGAATAGATTGCTGACTGCACTAGAATTAGGGACCCTTGGCTGTGTGTGACTCAGGCACAGGATATCCCTCTGCTGACTTTGGTGACTTAGGTTATGAGGAAGGTGGTCATGGCTTTCCCAGGAAATCAGCAGGTTTTAGAAGAAGATGCGTGTCCTTTGGGGCCTGCTAGCCCACAGGGGTTTGGATGGAGAGGCCTAGAGCCCAGGAGAGAGAACTGAGCTGGGAGGGGGAGTGTGGGCCATGGTTGAATCTCCCAGAGGGTGAGTGGACAAGGAGGACCCATGGCAGGAGCTCAGGCCCCTGGGGGAACCCAGGGAAACTGGGTGCATTGAGAATGTACTGGCAGGAAAAGGAGGCCTGAGAAGCCCAGCCATCTGGCCAGCAAGTACCCAGGGCAGACCCACCAGGATTGAGCTGGGTTCATGCCTGGCAGAGCAGAGGCCACAGCCACAGAAGTGGAACAGAGAACATGCAGAGACCAAGAAAGGAAGGAAGTTTCAAAGCATCACTGTGTCACTTCCCTCCTGTCACTTGTGATAGCAACAGAAGATGTGAGGTAACATCACAGGACAGGTGCCCTGAGCTGCTGCAAACCCTGAGAGCGTGGGGAGACCACAGCTGCCCCTGTTTCCTGCACCCCGTAGCCTCTATTTCTTGGCACTTGCTGTTTTGCTCCCCTGAGGAGATGTCATCCTCAGGGAAGGTGTAGGGAACCTCCTGAGCACTGTAACAGACGCTTTGTGCTGTCCTTGAGGTGTCAGAAAAAATCTGTGCAGAGCATTCGTCACAGGGTCAAGCTCTCAAGCCGTGGAGTTAGACACCCAGTTCTGATGCTCAGTCTCACCCCTACCAGCTCTCTGGTTTGGTTACTTAGCCTCACAGAATCTCAGTTCTGCCCTGTCCCGTGGGGCTAATGAGAGCACTTACTTCACTGAGCAGTTGCAAAGATGAAATGAGTAGAATGCGTTATAGTGTTTAGCTTAGACGATGGCCCAGGGAAAGGCCCACCTAAGGTCTATTGCAAATGGGGAAACTGAGACTCAGGGAAGACCACTGTATTTCCCAGTGTTACCCCTCCAGAACATGTCTTTATGACAGTCACTCTGTGCTGGCCAGGCCTTTTGGAATTAAGCTAACCCTGCTCAGAAAAACGGTCTCTTAATTGCTTCAAGTGAAGATGATAAATTGGTAACAGAGATGTCTCTTCCAAACACAGTGGTGCAGCTGACTGTGTCTCAGCTATCCCAGAGAAGACAGCTATGTGCCACGGCTTTCAAGGCCCTTTGCCACACTGAAGTTGGGGTTTCCATGCCCTTCCTTGCTCCAGGGATGATTGGTCATGAGCCCAAGAATATGTTGAAAGGCTATAGTTCCTGGCAAGGGAGAAGTGTGAGCAGCAGTGACAGTTACCCCATCCAGCCAGTGCCTCTGGTATAGTTATAGGTTCCCCTGCAATGCACATAGCTGTGGTTTGTGAAATTGTGTAACACGCTCAGCACAGGATTCAGCACAGAATGATGCTCGGTAGCAAGATGTGATGGCGCATCCCTCTAATCACAGCACTTGAGAAACTGAGGCCGGAGAGTCATTGTGAGTTTGAGGCCAGCTTGGGCTACATAGTGAGTTCAGTGCTAGCCTGCAATACACAGTGAGACCCTGTCTCAAAAAAAAGAAATTATATTTGTGCTCAATGTTGTTCTTTCCAACCCACCCAGCATTCCTTTATTTTTAGACAGGAAAAGTAAGAATTAAGAAGGGAAAGTGACTAGCCCGAGGTGTCAGAAATTCTTTAAAATAGGGCCATAGTAATAACAGAGCAAATTCCAAGGCCAGGTACTAGGAGTACTGAATTTTTATTTCTTTGCTACTCTAATACATTTTCCTTTCCATCAAGTCATAAAAATATAATCTTATTCTTTTCTTATGGTACACTCTGCTCTACCAAAACACCTAGATTATTTAAAAACTAAATTTCAGGACAAGTGGTTTTTCTTTGAAATGATAGACAAAAATTGACATTTAACTAGATGGATTTAAAAAAAAAAAGGAAAATGTAAATTACTAAAATCAGGAATAAAAGAAGGGGCATTGCTGCCAACCTTACAGAAATAAAAAGGACTGCAAGGGAATACTTTGAACAGCTATATAACAAGAAATTTGATAACTTAGATGAAATGAACAAATTCCTACAAAGACACAAATTACTGGAACTGACTCAAAAAGAAATAGAAAATCAGAATAGACCTCGTAAATAGTAAACAAATTGAATTAGCAATTAAAAAGTTTAGGGCAGTTGGCTTCACAGGTGAATTCTACGAGAAGGAGAGGAGGAAGGGCTGTACAGTCATGGAGGGGCAGGGAGGGAGTAAATATTTGCTGAACATCAATCTAAACTAAACATTCGTCTTCCCTTTTACTCTCACTTGAGTTTCATGTCCCTTTTTTTCATCTTTAGTGCCTGGGGATGTCCCTTCCTTTGCTGGAACTTCAGCTAGGCGTCTTAAAACTATGTTTTGTATTTTTCCAGCATCTAAGAGTTTGTGGAATATTTGCCCATCCTATTGCTGGTGGTCGTATCACAAATAAAGGTAATATAACAAAGCTGGGGCTTCAACACAGGCCTTTAGATTTTCATATACGCTGTTTGGATCATGCTACTGGTACCCTTAAGTAAGTGCCCTCCTCGTTTCAAACTGTTGATTATGACCACAATAAGAAATTTTGTTATAGCTCAGTACTTACATGTAATTCAGAAAACATTGACCCTAGCTAGATGGAATGCATTCTGATAATTTCTGGTTTTGTTTTGATTTGTTTTGTTTTGTCTTGTTTTTTGAGACAGGGTCTCACTATGTAGTTCAGACTGGCCTTGAACTCACTCTGTAGCCTAGGCTGGCCTCAGACTGATGGAGATCCTCCTGCCTCGGCCTCCCAAGTGCTGGGATTATAGGCATGCACCACCACAATCAGCTCTGCTTATTTTTTAAACGCTAGTAATGACACTGAACAAATTTGATAATCCTCCCAATGGACTACAATCTGCTGTCTGAAACTTGGTGAATTCCTTTCTTTTTCTCTCACCTGCTCTTAATTTCATAATACATGTGCTTTACATGTGCTTTTTATCCTCTTTACAAGGGAAAATAAACTCAGTTGAGCTGTCTTTCATCTGGCCCACTATGAATTTTTCTGTAGGGGGTGCTCTCAGGCCAGCCTCTGGTGCTACCTTGTTACTTCCTAAATGGAGCCTGGATTCTGGGCACACCTACTCTAATGCTAGGTACTCAGAGCCTAGTTCTTGCAGAAATGACACTATGAGGCTCAGCCTACATAAGTGTTTGAACAAGGGGTAGCATGAGGTACAGTAAGCTCCTTGGAAGCTGAGGCTGCAGAGAGGACAGATCAGAGTGGGAAAAGAGAGCAAAGGGAGGAAGATGCCACAAGATATTTGCAAGATATTTCAGTGAAAGCTGGGCTTGGTGGTGCACACCTGTAATCCCAGCCCTCGGGAGGCTGAGGCAGGAGGATCATTGAGAGTTCAAGGCAGCATGGGCTACAAAGTGAGCTCAAGGCCAGCCTGAACTGCATATCGAGACCCTGTCTCAAAAAGACAAAAAAAAAAAGATATTTCAGTGGAACTGGGAGCCACTGATAGTTCTGGAGCCAGTAGGTACAAGATGAGATGGAGGTTATAGGAACTGTAGTTTGTCAAGTCTATTCAATATTTGTTCAACATGTATATGTGAAATACTTCCTGCATCTCAGGCACTGTTCTAAGTATCTGTCAGTGAACAGATAGATATTTCAACAGCACGGGTTAGGGTTTGGGAGTCAAACTATGACAGCAACAGAATGTGTGAAAAGGGCTAAAAGAGAAAGACCTGGTGCTGAGAGTGCTTCTTGCTTTCAGATGCATCATGCAGATAGCTGGGGCATCCCACTGAAGTGAGCCCTGAGCTCCAGCAGGGAAGGCAGAGGGGCTGTCAGCTCATATGCCTCACTTCTCCTTTCAGAAACACCATGCACACTATCCGTGGCAACAAGCACACCCAAGGACCTTTGGTGGAAGAGGCTCCACAGAGTGGGGAGCAGCCTTTGACACCTGACTCCAGCACCCCAGGTGAGCTTCTCAACAGGTCTGAGCGGCTTTCAGAGAGCAGGCCCCAGGGCCAGAATGAGTGCCTTCTCGGCTCCCTGCCAGCCAGTGTGTGTGTGTGGTGGTGGAGTATTAGTCTCGTGCTGCTGCTGTAACAAAATTCTGTGGATGACCATGTGGCTGAAACAACAGACATTTATTTCTCACGGTCATACGGAAGCAGGGAATTTCAAGATTAAGGTGCTGATTCTATGTCTGGTAAGGGCCCTCTTCAAGTCTTGCTCACAAAAAAAAAAAAAAAAAAAGAAAAAAAAAAAAAAAAAAAGTCTTGCTCACATGGCTGAGAGAGCTCTGATCCCTTCCTCTTCTTCTACTCTGTCCCCTAGGCCCACACCTTCTAATGCTGTCACACTGGGGATTAGGGCTTCAACATAGATATGATGTCAGAGTTTGCACAAACACTCAGTTCACAGCTCTGTGTTCGAAGTGAAACTCTTCAGGTCATTTCTGGGGTTCTAGAGGTTAAGAAGCAATTTTTTTTTATTGTGGTGAAAAAACCAAAATTTACTATTTTACCACTTTGAGGTATACAGCATGGTGGCACTAAATCATTCACATTGTTGTGCAGTGATCATGCCATGTCTCCAGAACTTTTTCATCTCCCCAGCTGAGCCTCTTAGTAATGGTTCTTGAAGGAATAAAGACGAATATTGTTCTTTCTTCTTTACTTTTTAATTTATAAAGGAAAGGGCATAAAAATGCCTTCCTGAGGTAATAATGTCAACATAGCATTTTATTGTGTCTATCACAGAATGTGAGTACCCACACCACCAGAGCAGCTTCCTAGAGGTTGACATCAATGCCCTTAGGACATATTTCGCTTTAGAAGTATTGGAAGGAAAGCGGCTAAGGCAGCACCTGAGTCTTCTTGTGGCAGACTGAGTACCCCTTTGGAGAAGGCAGCCCCTCAGGAGGCCCCCAGAGATCAGAGTGGCCAGCCTACAAGTCCATACTGGATCAAAGCAGTAATAATAATGATAAAACTACCACTGTCATGGCCGTTGCTTTGTGGGATGCATTAGGCACTTTTTTTTGGTAACAACTTTATTAAAACATAATTCATACACCATATAATTCACCCATTTAAAGTGTGGGATTCCATGGATTTCAGTATACCACAGAGCTATGTAGCCATCACTGTAATCAATTTTAGGATATTTTTATGACCCCAGAGAGCAACCTTATATCCCATAGACATCAGCCCCAGTCACCACCTCCCTGCAGCCTATAGAAGCTACTGATCTGCTGTCTTCATGGACGTGCCTCTCCAGTGTTTCCGATGCAAGGACTCTGTGACTTGTGCTCCTCTGTGACTGGCGCCTTTCAGTTAGTGGGGAGCTTCGGGTTCCATCCGTGAGCGTGCTAAGCATGTAACCCACAGTGACCTGCTTAATGCTGACAGCAAATGGCTCTGTAGACACTGCTCTGCTCCGTGTGTGATAAATGAGGAAACCAGGACATGGCAAAGTGGACTGACTTGCTCATGGCTACACAGTGAATGACAAACCAGAATTGAAACTGAGCGTTCAGCCCCTTACTGCTGCCTGACACCTCATCTAAGTCAGTGATTTTTCAAGCTACAGATGGTACTGACTCACAATGACTCAACCATTGCAAAGTTTTCATCTTCACAACAGTGCAAAAGCCATGTGAATTCAGTGGAAACTTTATCTTGAATTTGCATTTTTTTTTTTTTCTGGTGCTGGGGGTTAAATCCAGGGCCTCCTGTGTGCTACGCAAGTGCTCTACCACTGAGCTACACCCCAGCCCATGAATTTTGAATTTAGGGGATTTCCCATGCTTGCAGATTTTACAGCACTCTCTCTCTCCGGATGTCAGAGAGCAGCAGCAAACCATAGCTCCCTGTCGGTTATGTAATCATGAGGGGAACAACTGACCCTCTCCAGTGCACTGTGGTGCTGAGCTAGGATGCTCGTTGGGTGAGGTGAACTAAATCCCTTTTCCATCTATGCTATTTCCCACTTGAAACAAGCTTATCAGGAAATAATCCTGTCATAAGTTGAGGAGTATTTGTACATCCTTATTGCCATGACACCTTGTCTCCCACTCCTGACACACACTAAATCTACTATACAAAGCAGGCAGAAGCAGAGTTGAGCAGGTACAAGAGTCTGGCCTCCTGTGCTCCTCCCAACCCACCCCACCTTCCTGTCAATTCTGAACCAATCCCACCAAATCCTAATGCACTGGTTGAAAACCACTGTCTCAGGCCTTGCTTTCCCCAGCTATAAAATGGGCACGTGGTCCCTCCCCTTCCTGTCCTCAGGGTTGATGGATATGCCTCTGTTCCATGCACTGCAGGGCTGCTCTCCTTGCCCCTATAACAGCAAAGAGGATGCTAGTCTTCAGAAGGAAGACACTTAAGTCATTCAGCCCTTTTAAGCCCACCCTCTGCCCTGTCTTAGGAGCCTATCACATCCTTATCTTTAACACCTTTAGCACCTAAGTCCCAGAGGATTGTGGTAGTTTACTGAAGTACTTATTTGTGGTAGTTTGTGGTAGTTTACTGAAGTACCTCGGAAAAATAAATGAGTCATTTTGGCTAGGAAGTTTAGATAGCATCAAGATAAGATGCCAGAGAGAGAGAGTACCTAAAAGTGGGTAGCAAGCCAGGTATGGTGACATGCAAGCCTGTAATCCTAGCATTCTGGGAGGCTGAGACCAGAGGCAAGTTTGAGCCCAGCTTAGGAAACTTAGTGATTTAGGGACACCCTATCTCAAAATAAGAAATTAAAAAAAGCCTGGGGATGTAACTCAGTGCAAAGGCCCTGGGTTCAGTCCCATGTGGGAAAAGTGGTGGGCAGCAAATGTGACTCTGAATTTCTCAGCAGCCAAGGCAGAGACGGGAAATGCAAGTTGCTGGGTGATTTCCAGTGTCCATAAGATTGATCATGTATTTTCTTAGATGAAGAAGAGTTTTTTTCTGGCGTGCAAGAAGACTGAGGGGAATTTCTCTGCTGGGACCTTGTAACGGGTGTGATGTATGTGTTGTATGTGAACAAGTGTCTCCATGTTCCTTGACCATATAAGCAGGATATGGAACGTCCTTGATGCAGCTTCCTGGCAGAGTCCCAAAGCATAGCCTAGGGGAAGTGTGCGACTCGGTGGCCAAGGGGGGTGGTTCTCTAAGGTTGAATTTAAGCATACAGTTTAGTGACTGGAAGATAGTGCGAGGCAAATGTTGTCTGTAAAGAACCAGATAGTAAATAGTTAGGGCTTGGTGGCCATAGGCTGCAAGTACACAACTCTCCCTAAGTGAAGCGAAAGCAGCCAAAATCTTTGCTCACTATATGTGATCAAATGGGTGTGATTGTGTTCCAATAAAATTTTATTTACAAAAAGCAGGCTGTGGACTGGATCTGGTGTATGAACTGGAGGTTAATGCTGCCCTCTCTGGAATAAATAAAAGGATGACAAAGCTTCAAGGCAATCAACTAAGGGAAATATGGCTCCTAACTTAGCTGGTAGTAAGAAGCAAATTAAACCAGATATGGTGGCACATACCTGAAATCCCAGCACTGTGGGAGGCTGAGGCAGGAGATTGCAAGTTCAAATCCAGCTAAGGTAATTTAGCAAGACCTCATCTCAAAAAGTAAAAAATGCAGGGGATGTAGCTCTGAGTGAAGGCTTTAGCTTCAATCTTTAGTACTAATTAATTAATTAATTAATTCAAATTGAGAATTTGAGCTATTGCCTGGGGAAAAAATGCAGAATACTGACAATGCAGTCCATGCACCTAGCAACAGACATGTTTGCTCTGAAAATCACTGAGCGGGTATAAATGGGATCCTCAAGTGAAAAATGAGACATCTTGCAGGGCTGGTGCAGGAAGAACCAGCACCCATTAAACCCAGCAGAGTGGGATGCAAGATCTCTGCAGGTCAGATGGTGGGGAAGGGCAAGGCAGTTTAGATGACAGGCTGAATGACTCAGCCAGCACAGTGTGGAGAGGCCAGTGCACCTCAAAGTATGACTGCTGGATACCACGTATCAGCAAGGAACTGCTTACAAATGCAGTCTCTGAAACCACTCCCTGCCCACTGAGTCAAAGCCGCTAAGGCAGGGCCCAGCCATCTGCGTGTTAAGAGTCCCCCAAGTGCTTTGGAAGCAGACTTCTTTGAGAACCACTGGCGTTGATCCTAAGCTCAGTGTCTCTCTTCTTGAGCAGGGAAGGAACCAGCAGATTCTCCAAAGCCTGCACCCAAGTCCTCCCTGCCTGCCAGTCTCCTGCAGAAGACCAAGCACCAGAGCAACACCTTCCCATTCCTTTCTGAAGGGCTCATGCGGAACCGGACAGCTCAAGAGAAGGCAGTGGCCTTGGAGCAGCAGGTGCTGGTGCTCACCAAAGAGTTAAAGTCTCAGAAGGTGAGCACTGGCCTCTCCCTGGAGGGCCCAATTCCCAGGGGCGCCCTGGGCTTGGAGCATTGCACATAGATCTACCAGGCTAGCTGGCCCAACTTCAGGAGATTGGAAATGTGCTGTTGATTACTCAGGAGCATGTTTAAACTAGGTGATCAAAGGCTGTCACAGGCAGGGTTCTCTGGAGACCTACTTAATAATTGTCTCGTGAAGCCCTCCTGGAAAGATATGGGTGCTCTAGACCACCACCCAAAGAGGCAATACTTACAGGAGGGATCTGGAAGCAGGGTCTTGGCAGGGCTCACTGATAGAAGTGGGAGGACCTTGAACCTGGCCTGGCAGCTGATTACTGGGTGCAGATATCTGAAGGACTATCACAGGATGGAGAAAGTTGGCAGGGTGTGGCCCCAGGGCTGAGCCAAAAGACCAGTGATGGATTGGGGGATTTCAACCAGATGTGAGTGAGTTTAAAGTGAGTTTATTTTAGGAGTTACAGAACTGGTACATGGTCATTGTGCAAAACAGATCACACACACCCAGAGATGTTAAAATTCCTCAGAAATCCTGGGCTGGAGATATAGCTCAGCGGCACAAGTGCCCTCCTGGCAAGCGCAAGGTCCTGAGTTCAATTCCCAGTACCAAAAAAATATCCTATAAATCGGAGAGTAAACTGTACTTAAATCCAGAGGTCACATGGCAGCAATGCAGGAGGGCTGCAGCACTAGACAGGAGCCTCTGCTAAGCACAATAAGAGTGATGAAAGCAGCACAGTTGTCACCGTAAACCCTGAGCATGGGGCTGGGGTTGGGAGGCACGGCAGTTTCCCCTCAGGATCTGGGGTCCTCTAAGAGGAAGGTCCTTTTCTGCTTCCTTCCTTGGCCTCAGCCCCAGAGGACTCAGGCTGGGGAAGTGGGGAGGTGCGTAGTCTGTTTACTGCTGAATCTTCTCCCCTTGTATATTGTTCTTGTCCTTCCCACTCTGTTTTTGGAGAACACAGTCCAGAAAAGTGTTCCCTCTCCCTAATTTGTTTTGCCCCTTGTCAGCTTTTCCTGCCACTGTGTCTAGGAAGCAATCTGAGGGGAAGCAATGGGCTTTAGAGACTGTAAGAATTTGCATCTCAATCTCTGTTGCTCTCTACTCTCAGGGGCCTCCCCATCCAATAGGGAAGAGAAGGTATGAGTGCAGTAACTACACAGTGTCAGTGTTTTCTGTGTGTGATCTCTAGTTCTCAGGACAGAGTTACAGGAAGAGGAAATTGAAGGTCTAGGAGCTTCTGCTCAGGGCTCCGAGGAGCTGCACTAAGGTTCAGACTTGAGTCTGTTTGCCTCCAAAGCCTCTGACCTTTTTTACCAGGCCACGCATGGGGCTCAGATAAGTGGGGTGACACCTGATATTACAGATCTGGGAAGAGCCAGGACTGGGCATGGGTCTCCTTTTCTTCGTCCACCATGTCCGGGGCACTCCTCATAGCCCAGCTGCCTCTGATCCATGGTCTGTAGCCCAGTGTCAGACCTGAGCACCAAGACTGCTTTTTGAGGAACATGAATGAACTCCCTGTGCTCTCTGGTGTCGTATTGAACCTCCATGGTAACTCTGATACCCATTAAGCCATTATCTATCCCAGCACCACAGCGCTGACCCCACAGGAGATTGGGACTCCAGGAGGTAGCACCAGATGGCTGATTGGCCAGGTGACTGAGGCCTTCCAAGCTGACAGAACGCACCCAGCCTGAAGGCTGTCTGCTCCGGCAGATGGCAGGCTCCTGTCTGGTGGTAGTGGCCATCTGTTGGCTGCCAGGAAAGTTGAACCCTTGGGGACCCTGCCTGGGGCCCTCTGGGACTGTCTTAGCTCATTCAGGATTACTTGGTAAAGGCATATAATTTGTTTAGGAAACTTGACAAGGACAGTATGTGACCACTTGCTTATATCTCCAGCCAGACACTTCAGAGTATGCCCCTCAACACACATACACTGTGGCCCTGACACCACGGAGGGAGGGTTGGGAGCTTGGAGGGTTGGGAGCTTGGAGGGGGCACTCCTGGCACATTTTCTCTCTCGTCCTTGAGGCAACTCTGCACAGAATAGTGGTCTTTATCTCCATACTGATACTGAGAAAGCTGAGGCTCATGGATGTAACCAGCCTGAGGCCAGCTTCATGAGATAAATCCTCATGGCTCTGGAATGGAGACTGTGTTAGTCTGTTTTTGTTGCAATGATGATATAGATGAGACAGGCTACTCTATAAAGGAGACCTCTGTGTTGCACACAGTTTTGGAAGGTTGAGGTGTCACATTTGGGGATGGCCTTCTTGCTGGCAGTCTATGCCTCGTCTGTTCTCTCTCTCTCCCTCCCCCCCCCTCTTCTTTCCCCGCTCCTTCTGTCTACATTTCTGTCTTTCTTATAAAATCACCAGGCTTCTTGGGGCTGGGGATTTAGCTCAGTGGCACAGCGCCTGCCTGACAAGCACAAAGTCGTGAGTTTGATTCCTGATACCAGAAAAAAACAAACAAACAAACAAAAAACCCACCAGGATTCAATCACAAGACCTCTGCCTAAAGACCTTACCTAATCCTAATCACCTTCAAAAGGCCATATGTCTAAACAAAAATAGTCATATTAAGTTCCACCCTCTTAATATGTCACAGCGGGTATCAAATTTCAATACATGAACACCTGGGGGAAACTCAAACTCTGTCCAGATCCCAGAGGTCTGAGGCCTGAGTAATTCTGAGGCCTAAGTAATTCCTTTCTTTTTTTTGTTTTTTTTTCCGGTACCAGAAATCGAACTTAAGTGCCTGCCTTGCAAGCACAGGTCATGAGTTCAATTCCTGGTACCGGAAGAAAAACAAAAACAAACAAACCAAAAAAAAAAAACAAGAAATCGAACTTACGACCTTGCGCCTGCCTGGGCGCTGTGCCGCTGAGCTAAATCCCCAGCCCCAAGGCCTAAGTAATTCCGAGGCCTGTATAATTCTATAGCCAGTGATCCTTCACCTGACCTCTGTTGGACCCACTTACCTTAATTTTAGTGGTAAAACAGCAGTACTTTAATAAAACAAAGGATTATTTTTTTAAATGATATTAGCTTTTAAAGTATAAATAAAATGACTTATCAGCTAAAAAATCTGAGATGGGCAAAACAACAGTTCTACTGAGAAGCATTAAGAGGATCACTTGATGAGCTCTTCTCTTTTCACGAATTAGTCCCAAGGCTTTAACTCCTTTTCCACCAATCTTTGACCTGCTCTCATGGCATCTGCACACATCCATGAGTCCTAACAAAAATAGCAGTAGATTAGGTTTTTAACAACTGATAGGTTTTGTTGAGCCTTTGCTAATAAGGGTATATCTGTTTTATATGTATTTTAAAGACCTCTGAGAATATATCTAGGATTACTGTTTGTTGTTTCTAAGTGGTAGTCTTATATTCATGTAGCCAAAAACATTTTTATAAGAAGCATGAATTTTTATTGCCAGAAAAAAGCAATATAGTTATTTGCATTTTTTTAAAAAAAGCATTCGTTCAGTGTGGATTTTTTGCATTCATTTTAATTTTTGGATACATTACTACATAGTGAGACCCTGTCTCAAAAAAAAAAATTATAATATTCATCTGTTTACTACATTTTTGGCAACAATCCCATTTAATATTGTGATTTTAAAATACATAACAGGGCCGAGGATGTGGCTCATGGTAGCATTTGCCTAGCATGTATAAAGTCCTGGGTTCAATCCCCAGGACCACTCAAATATACATATAATAAATATATATAAAAGCATTTTGGGTCTACATAGTGATATTAAATATATTCACATTGCTACAGCTGTCCAGAACATTTTCATCTTACAAGCTGAAACCTGAGCCCATTAGTAACTCCCCACTTGCTGTTCCCATTAACCCAACCCCCATAACCACCATTCTATTCTATATCTCTATGCAGTAGAAACTGATTTCCTCAAACAATACTAGTGGAATCATAGAGTATTTATCATTTTGTAGCTGGCTTACTTCACTTGTGTATATCACCCTTCAAGCCTCATCCATACTGTAACAAACGTCAGAATTTTTTCCCATTTTAAGGGTGAATACTATTTCCTTGTTTGCATATACCACATTTACTCGCTGACCCACCAGAGCACACATGAGTTGTTCCTGCTCTCGGGTATCTTGCGTAATGCTGCTATTTTCAAGGGTTATTTCTATTTTTGAAAGAAACATTTTACCACAGAATCGGTGAACCACACAGCATGGAGAAGTGATAGCCTCCTAGACCAGAAGCTGTGAGTCCTCTGTTGGAGCCCACTGTGTCCTTTAGTTCTCACCCCTCTCCTTTTTGAGGCTTCTTTCTCCTCCTGAGACAGCAAGGTGACTGGATCAGAAGGTCCTCACTGGCCAGGACCTCACTGGCCTCCAGGTTTCCTCCATCCCTGACGTATTTCCACTCCCGTCTTACAGGTCTGCCTGGGGCTCTCGCTCTCTCCCCTGGCTGTGTTTATTTGGTGTGTGGATTCTGGTCTCAGATTTTGAGAGCCAGGTTGGGAAAGGAGGAGACAACAGATGGAATGAAATGAGTTTTTGAGTCTAGTCCCCACTTGGGAGGAAATACGCCCAGCTAGGGTGATCCTAGAGCAAGTCTGAGCAGGGTGTCTCGTTTCACCAGGAAATCACCCACCGTAATCTCCAAATCTCAGCTGAACCAGAAAACCAGGCTGCTGGTCATGGTAGAGCCACTGGAATGTTAATCTGTCTCAGCAGAGCCCTGGGAAGGAAGCTGACTTCTTTCTGAACATTCTAGACATTCTGGTTTGGTGTGCAGTGACTGTCCCCACCCCACTCTCCTGCCACACCCAAGGGCTCCCAGAGCTCTGACCTGACTCTTGATTCTCATTTCTTCAGACCTTTGTCCCAGCTGTCTTCCAGCTTCCTTCAGATGGAGCTAGACCAGCTTTGACTGTCCTCATGCTTCACCGCTCTATTTAAACTGCTCTGCCATTTATCGTGTTC